GTTAATAAATATCTATACTAACTGCTAATAACTAATAAGTGTTTACTAGCGATACTATGAAAGGTTAAGAATATTCCTTGTTCCATTACAATTTAAGTAGAGTAATAAAATCTCCTTGCAACATAAGCAAAACACTTTCTCAAAAATTATAATATTGCTCTGCGGGGTTTGTTAATGAACTACATATCAGTTAATTTCTTCGAAATTCTGCATGTATTATAAATATAAGAATAAAACCATTCACATAAAACTATTGAAGCATTAATAATAATACTAAATCCCATAGTAAACATTTTAGTTCACGGACCCATATAGAGTTAATAATTAGATAATAAAAAAACCAATAACCTTCATAATAAGTAACGCCAAAGGTAAAGCAAGTATAGTACGTTCCAGTACCTACCTATTTATGTACTTCTCATCCTAGTTCTCACAGGGAAACTATACGAATTTCTTTATTTATCTATCTATGCAAAAACAATGGAGCAATGAATTACCTACGTTGCGATATACTTTGCAATAATTCCGTGACTCATTAAAAATCGGATTATTAAACGGACATCATCGAAGAGGAAGATTTACACCAGAATATTGATGTGATTGTCATTAAAATTTAATTTTAATGGCGCTAAAAATTTATTCATTTTTATATGAGAGGTTTCTGTTCTTATCCACCGTTGAAATCTTTTATGCAAATATCTTGTACAGTTGTATAAGACAAGAAATTTTATTTTATTTTCGGTTATATTTTATAGATTGACACATTAAAGATTCATGCGTTTTATTACCGTGCCATTACTCAATTTTTAACACTTTCTAAATTTTAATGTTATACTATATGTTGAATGATGCCATTGGCAGCAATTTTCACATTGTTTAAACGTAAAATTTTCTGGTAAAAATTTTCAATTGTGCTTTGCTGCACCCATTAATACTAGATTATAGTATTCCAATTTACACATTCGACTCTATAAATACCGTGTAAACGTAGTCGAGAGTGCAGGCGTAACTTGCACGTTTTCTCTTTTCTTTTAAATTCGACTCGTTACCACTATAAAGAAACAATAAGAGGAAGTAATAACAATTAGTTTCGAAAAAATTCCCTTACATTTTATGGTATTTTATCGATTTGTTTCAGTACTAAATGACAACCATTACGGATTAACTGTTGAAAATTAATAAAAAGATCAACCCATAAAACGCTCCAACTAATATTAATAATACGTTTTTAAAAATCCCGGATTTATTGTCTGATTCAGGTAGGACAAATAACTGTCTATAAATGCATTCTCGGAAAAATATCGATGTTGTTTTCATTGTTCAGGTATCAAAGATGCTGCAGATTACCCACCCATACTTGTTTAGGTGTCATTAATTTCACCTTCGCGGATTTAAACTTATCCCAACTAAGGATTAATAACCTGAAATTCTTTTGCTCAAAATGGTTTTTTGGAAATTTAACTTTCGCTTTCAAAAAACGAGTTTCGACCAAGCATTTTTCAACTTCCAATCTGATACAATTAAAAATATTTATATGTCTACAATGTCGTCTAAACCAATTAAAAATTTATTGACCTAGTAATTTGATGATTGATTTCACGAAACTATTGAATATTTTTAATGAGCATTACACCTAATAATATGCATATTATGCTATTTAATACGCTGCACGTATATGAGTTTTGCACCTAAATTGTTCAATTAAATTTGCATATTTTTTGCATACCTACATTGATATTTAGTTTTGAAATGATTTATAATAAAACAGATTAATTAAGACTAACTATTAATTTGCATAATATTTGCATTATTGATATATTTCGTTAATTAATCCTAAAAACCGGGCATTTGTTAATTTAATTAAATCTAAAATTTATTTAACAAGTGTCTTATGGAAACGCGTAGTAGTGTCAAAAAAAAACTGTAAAATAATTGCACGTTTATAAAATGAGAAAGTATAACTGTTATTCTACGATTTAATTCAATTTACCTCCTTCAAGATATTGAAATTAATCATGCGTAAATGCATAAACTCGCTATGAAATGTACCTATTACTTATTACAATTTGTTTATTCCTAACCGTGTCTTCGATTTAAAAAAATATCTGGGATAAAACGATATTTATTATGGTATTGTATTGTTATTGTAAAATGCTTATCGGTAAATCGCGATCATTTCAAACTTTTCGCTCTCTCTTCGCCGGTTTTTAAATTGATTATACAGATATTCACAATTTTAATGAACCCATCTACCAAATGTAGATAAAACAGCATCAACGCTGAATTGCAATTTATCGATTTTCGATGTTAATTAATCCTTTAAATAGATGTTTTCAGTAATAAAAATCGATTGAGAACTAAAAAAAATCTGTCTTATACATTAATGCAACATAAACAAGCTATTATAGACAATGTGAATGCCACAGAGATACGTTATTTATTCGAAATTATACACTTGTTTATTTTTTCTGCAAACACAAATCAGGTTTTATAATACAAATAAATTTCACTCGATTAATATTTTAGAAAGAAATACAGCGATGTGTTAATTAGATCGTTAATGTGTTAATTAAATATTTTTTTTTTACTTTTTCCCCGTCTGATCAGTATTAATTAAATGAACAAGCTTGATAAAAATCTACCTTCTAACGGTAGGTACTAGGGAACTTACAGTGCCAAGGAAATAACTTTAGTCGTGAAACTGAAGCGCATTGATTGGTAGTATTTACTTAAAAGTTGCGCAGGTCACGTCTACAAATATTTACAACGCACTGTAGGTATTTTTATACTGGAATTTGATAAATCCATTGTGGTTTATTGAAGGGGATTTTCAAATGAGCTCTTACTTACGGTAATTTAACGTCCGCGTAAATCGCGCTAAATCTTACGCTCATTAAATCAATCTAAATGTATCTAGGTAAATTAATTCGCCTCGACAAAAATGACGTTTTCATGCAAATTTTACGAACGAAATGCCTGTCTAATTATATTTGCGCGCCACCAATTTTTCCAATTTCTAGATCGATTATAGCTGTGAGGCACTAACTTTCGATTCACGAATGTCCTTTAACGCACGCTTCGTTACGTCATGCGATTGCTTCTTACGACAGGTTGAATATACCGATATTTTTTACATACACTATAAAGTAAGTGCTCGTAAAACGTTAATAGAAATAATTAGCTGGATTTTTCGAAAGATGGCACACATCATTTTGCGTTTTATTGCTCTTATAAGCGTTACATAAACGTTCAGGCCTTGCTCAATTATATGCGTATAAAATCGGTCGTAAATAGATAATTTAAAAAAATAAATTATATATGTATAAAAATTTTTATAGAGAAGGGTTTATTGTTATTTGAATAAGTTAGGTCAAAGTTTATTACAAAGTTATGACACAAAGCAAAGCGTCATTATTTTCTGCAAAAAAATGTACAATATAAAATTTTGTTGCATTTAATTAGAAATTTTCGAACTGTAATACCCTTAAAAATATAAGTAGGTTTTTGCATTAGGTACTGATTGTTAATAAAATCAAGGGTGTTAAAAATTGAAGTACAATACAGTTAACACTAACCTTTCGATTTTTTATTGTCCAATAAATTTGCGAAACTCCCAAAAAAATTTTTTTTCGAATAATCAATGGAAAGCACTACAGAAAACGATAATAAAGGCTTCGAGCACATGCGCTCCTGAAAGAAACCGGTTCGCGTGCTGCTCGACTCCGGCCAAAAGGATCGACGGTTTCGAACGAACTGAAGTCAAAGTTTCCTGGTTGTTGTTGATGTTGCTCTACGCACGCACTCTAGGACTCTTGAATGAATCTTCAAAGCAACGCAGTGTTGCCAGTGTTCAGTATTTCTATTTCCTAGTTTCTAATGAGACATTATTTACTTACTGCTTTCATTGAACTTCAGCAGGAGTTACATATAATAGCTTTTATTATCCAAAATAGAATTGGATTATAAATATGCTGTCCTTTAATTTACTTGCAATTATAGAATAAAAGTCATAAATATATTTTTTTTCTGTTTAATCATTCTTCTGTTTGATGTAAAATTTATTGTACCTACCTAGTCAGTTAATTACGTCGATATTTTCCTCATTTTATGACCCAGAAATAGAAATTTTATCATGAATTTACACTCCCTTAATTTAATTGTCTTCACAGAACAAAAACCCCACTATATTTCCCTGCTTAATCCTTCTTCCGCTTGAAGTGAACTTTATTGCACCTACCGTTTGTTGCGTTGATAATTCCCTGGGATTTAGGAAATTTCGGTAGATGCGGCAACGTTGTCGTTGGCCCCTTATTCTTCTGCAACCACGCGAGTCCACCTGCCCACCTGCTTTTGCTAATGTTTGTTTGAGTTCGTTTCGGACGGGGAAAAACGGCGTTTGATAACAGAGCACGAATGCAACAGAAGTAACGACGAGGAGAAAACGTGCCGAGTCGGTTGCGGAGATTTGCGGAAAGGAAATAGATAAAAACTATCGTAATTTAGAAAAGAGATTGTAGGATAACGTGAGGAGTAATGATAAATTTGGACGGCCGTGTATTATAAATTGTGGGTGAAATCGGATCTGAAAAATTTAAAACTGATGGAATACAATCGAAAAGTTTATGATCAACCATCAAGCATCAAGAATATATTGTTAGAAGCTTCTAATGTAATTTCTAATAACAATCGAAATATCAACCAGAAATATTCTAACACAAGGAAGAATTAAAGCATGCTAATTTTTGCTATAAGCTCGAAGGAACGTCAAAAATGAAAAGCAAGAACAGTCTCTGCGAATTTCGATGAGAACGATTTTTTATCACTTTCAATAAAATTACCGGAACAACTTGAATAAAAATAACGCCGGTTCGTTACGCTCTAAACAAAGGATCTAATTAAACATATTCCGCGGTTAATTAAATTCATTTATTGATTTTTTGATCGAATGGGAAATTGCCTTTGTTCGAGCGAAGTCCGTTTAAAATTAGTATTGATTCGGTTATAGATGCTGCCGAAGACGATCTATTGACGACGATTTATTATTTTACAGGAAGAACAACATGAAGCCTCCGCTTCTTGTTGTTGGCATTTTGCTCCTTTATAATATAGCCATATCTAGCCAGGATGGTTTAAGTGAGTCTATCTAAATTTTCTATTCCTGTAGATCCTTTAGATCCCATTGATCCTGTAGATGTTGATCTTTAAGTTCTCTGCTATTTGTTCTTATCAAAATATGTGATAAAGGACTTTATTGGATGCTTATAGAATCCTATGAACAGATCCTTGTAGAATCTCCTCAAAAATAGACTAATGACTGATAAGAAGGGAGAACTTATCAAAAATATTAATGTTTATCAAAATTAATGATATTTGATTTAATGATTTTACTGCGCAATTTTCCTTTTTGCTAATATCTTTAATTTTTATATTTTCAGCTGAAGAAGAATTTGCTAAAGAAAAAAAATATATGTGTAAGTGAAACTACTTAATATAATAGAGGACATAAAGAAAGTACCTGGTTAAAAATATAAAATATTACGTATAATCGTAATTAATTAGGTAACAATCAACTTATTAATAAAAGTATTTTGCAGATGACGCGTTAGAAGAGGTCCACGAGTTAAAATTGCGTAAGTTAACCTTTTAACATTATCTCGCCCAATCCATACAATTTAAAAATTCAATCAAATATCTCTGTCTAACAACTTTTAATAATTTATTAATTATGCATAATTTTTACAGTGGCAACAACCTTTCTAATGCTTGGTAAGATCTAATATACCTTTTAAAACTTATATAGAAATCTGGGATTCATAATAAATTTGAAGCCTTCCTGCTCATGCAATATTTTGAAATTCGAGTGTAAGTTATTTAATAAATAATTTCTGTTTCAGAAAATACAATTCGAAAGCGGAAAAGTATGAAAGTTTTACCTATATTTACGTATTATTTTAATTAACCATTATTCTTGTATTATTTATAGCTGCACCGGCGAAATACCGAGGAGGTAATGCACAATGTTTAGGTTTAGATAATCTTAATAAACATGTTTTTCAGGTCCTTTAATTAATGAAACCTATGTAAGATCGATTATTCCTAGAAATATGGAATCAGGTGAGAAAAAAAAATATAATATCTTCATTGTATCATCAACATCAAGCGTACATAATGCAATTCCTAATTAATTAAAAATCATTTGAGATTATGATGAATTATTTGTGTTTACAGCTAGGAATAGTTTTGATTTTGACAATGTGAATTTCAATTTCGGTAAGTTAGTGCTAATCAGGAGAAAATACAAAATTTTTATCACAAAATCATCCGTTTTATAGATGCAGCCGTCTCCAACATAGGTAAATTTTTATCGACTACACACAAAAAATTTGACACCTCCATTGAGTCAATTTTTTTGCAGTGTCTGCATTGGGTAAAATTAATATGCCGAATATACCGAGCACCAATTATTATTACTTTTATTATGACGAATATGATGATCATGTTTATGAGGCCTATCCATCAGGTATTTCTCCTATTATAGTTTATTTGAAGGAATAACTTAATATTCAGGGTGTTTACAGGAATTATATTGCAGCATAAGCATGAGAGTGTACAGTTCGACAAGAATAGCTGTATTGTAGCAATATTATCTATTATCATTTCAAAGTCGCGCAGATTATGTTTCTAGATATTCATGTCGCACTATACCTCTTCTTACCATTAAATCTTATCAATAATTCAATCAATCAATATGACACAATTATTTTTATCTTACAGTTTAAATTTTCTAATTGTCTTTTTCGGATACCCTGGATTAATATTCCCTTCAAACATTTTTTTTTTGTGAAAATTTTAACCACAATTTTACTTATTATTATACTTCTTTTAGGCGATAATTCGAAGATGACAGGTAAAACTTACAATTTTATTTACAACAAATAGAAGTACCCCCACAATATATCAACATTTCATTGCTATATTATTTTATTCAATGTCCCTTTATATATTACTCCAAAATTATTCTCTGATGCCAGTGTAGACGAAGGAGTTGTTAAATAAGAATGAAAAATACAATAAGTAGCATTCTTGTAGATATATTTTCTGTGAGAAATAACGGTAAGGTGACAAATTGATAGTAATATATTATGAATATAGGGTGTCCTCGAAAATTATGCATTCCTTGATAAGATTGTTTCTTTTATTAGATAACTTTTAGGTCCTAAAAAGTAACAAATATTTTTTTAAGTAATATCTAAAATTTATATTTATATTTATATTTATGCAATTTTAATTGCGATATAAAATTTTTATCGGTTCCTGAATTATGATATTATTAAAATAATAATAATAATAATAATAATAATTGGGTTCGGTATACACATATGCATAGGTATTAAAGACAAATAAATTCTTGAGACTGTAATCATAAATTATATTCTCTCAAGGAATGCATTATTAACGGGGGCAATCTGTATATTAAATTTGCAAAGCGACTGCCAAAATTTCTACGCATTTCACTTTGTTTTCCAGTGCACGCTATACAGTCTGCCCTCGAAGGTACTCATGATCATGCGAGTTAGTACTTTTGATTCTATGCGAAACATGAATTATTTAAAAAAAATTTGTAGCTCAATGGGAAGAACAGCCTCCCCCACCTTTACCTGCGTATGGATCTATGGATATTATATTGCAAAACCAGGATGAAATACGTAAGTGTAAAAATTAAAATTTACATACCTACTTGAATGAAAAAATCAGAAATAATCCTTATAAAATAGGGTTTTTTTGTTAATAACAAATTTTCTAAGGCCCCTTAATTTTTTCTGCTTTGCTTTTTAATTACTAGTAATTTACTTGCACGTTAATTTCAGTTGATGCGCTGGTCAGTGAGGATGAGGCGAAAATAAGTAAGATTCTTTACTGATTTTAATGAGTTCCTACTCATATTCGAAGTTTAATTTGCAGAGGAAGTACTGAATTTTATGGAAGACGAATTAGGTATGCCAGAATGTAATTTAAATTTAAATGCTGCACTATTTTACATACCGTATTTTTTGTAGCAAAGGAAGATCTGAAATCAAAAGCAGGTACGATGCTTTTTTAATTTTTAATTTAAAATATAATAATATTATGTTTGTTGTAGAAACGGTTGTGGAAGCAGTGGAGTCAGCTCAAATGCGTAAGCGAATGAATATATTGAACATACAATATTCTGCATCATTAATTTGTTCTTTTTTTAGTTGGAATTTTAGAACAAATAGGTAAGAATAATTTTCCTTCGCATTTCAAAGTTTAACAAAATCTTCTCTTGAAATTCCTTATTGGCCTAATATTTTAATGCTTTTTTTGTAATATTTAAACCTCAATTCCTCTAGTTAACTTTCTTTTTAAATATTAAATCGCTACAATAAATTAAAACAACATATTTATTTTCTAGGAGAAGAAATTAAACCGGACTTTAACAAACTACGTAAGGGATTATTTGTTACAGTTTAATTAATAAGTTTATTTAATAAGTTTAAAAATAACCGAGTCATTGTATTTCAGCGTCTGATATCACCGATCCTGATCGTACGTAGATATTGCAATAGAAAAAAATGACAATTCTAAAATTTACCCAACTATAATATTTGAAAATAACATTCATTGTTTCATTTCCACAGCAAACCTTTTGGCTGAGGAATCAATCTTGATGCAGAACGAAGACGATATAAGTAATTTGATTTTCATATTTGATGCATATTAACATAATATATTATGTTCTTTTAGTTAACGCTATTTTGGGCGGAGATTTGGGTGAGTTACCCGTGAAGAAATGCTTAAATATGAGAGCACTAATACATATGTTTTTGTACAGATTCGTTGTTAGATGAAATTGAACAAAAATTGAGTAAGCTAATTACAATACATTGGTTATTGCAATTAAAACCCTAATAAATATTGTTTTTGTTTAGAGGACAAACGCAACATAACCGGTATGTATATTAATTACGAGGGCATGTCAGTTTAGATTAAGATGCGCACTGACTTTCTCTAATTTATTTTCAGGTGGACCTGTAAAAAGACCAGAGGGTATGTACCTATATTATTCAACATATTCCGTTACAAAGTCATAAGGGTTGTTTTTCATCAATTTTGGACATGGATCATGCAAATTGGAATCTAATTTGTACAAATTCTGATTGATGAAATTTTGTTTTTTCAGTTCCCAGACCACCGGAGAGTACGTATTTAAATATTTATTTAAAGAATTGCATATTATTGCATATTATTTAATGTATTATAGTCACTTCAGTGAAGAACCTTTTAATTAGTCTTTTAATTAATGATATTTGAAATTATTTATACGTTTCTTATTTGCGAAAACAAAGGAGGTATGGCTTTTTCAATAAAAAACCCCTTCAACAAACCCTTGTGAAGTAATTACGATATTTTATATATTAAGTAGGTAGGTACCTATATTCTTTAAGATACCTACGATTACGATATGAAGGTATTTTTATAACTTTGTTTAGGATATATTTGTTCACGTTAAAAGCGTTACCTAAATAAATATGAGTGGTTTAGTCAATAGGGGAGTTCCAATCTTTAAATCGTAAAAACCCCGAATCAGTTTCAAATTAAATAACTAACAAATTAAATACGATTAATTTTTCTTTCTGCTGAATAATGTAAAATAATTAATAGATATATTAAATAATTAGACAAGAATACACGAGTAGTGTGTAGTAGAAATAGTAGAATAAAATATTATACAAAATGCGCAAAATCATTGATAAATACTTTAGAAAAATTAGTATTTCATTCGTATAACCATCCCAATATTAATTTAAATTTAAAACAATCTACTGACATAAATATAAAACATTTTAAACAAATATTTAAATCAAATTTATTACTACAGATCCGTATGCACCTCAACAACCGGAAGGTATGCTTGTAAATTATTGAAATAACCTTGGATTAGAACAATTAATAATTATTTTCATTACTAACAAATCGATATTACCTTAATTTTGTAGTTCCAGACCAATATCCATCACAACCTGAAGGTATGTGTCAACATATAAGCAAAGGAATATTAGTTGAAATTAATTTAGAATTAATATAAGAGAATAAAAGAGACTAACACAATTCCATTGTTTTAGAACCGAATACATCACAACAGTCTGAAGGTATGCATTAATATAAATAAGAATATTAGTTAACCGGTTCACAATCAACATAAGAGAATATTCGAGATTAATACAATTACATTATTTTAGATCCGTATGACCCACAAGAGCCTGAAGGTATGCATTAATATAAACAAAAAAAAATTAATTAAAACCAAATCAGAAATAATGTAATAGAAAATTTGGAGATTAATATAATATAAGACAATTCCAAAATAACACAATTACATTGCTTCAGAAACGAATGGACTACAACAACCTGAAGGTATGAATAAATTATTCAAAATAATTAAAAATAATAACGTATTTCCAAATAAACACTGCACATTCTATATACATTTTATTACTTTAGATCCATATGCATCACCGAGTTCAGAAGGTATGAAATAATGTTATAAAAAGATAATTTATTGAAAAACCTATCAACTCAAATTAATTAAATATCAGATTATCAAATAATTTTCTCTGATTAAATTATTTGCTATTTTTGCTATTTTTTGCTATTTTTTTCTATTTTATATCCATATGTACCACATCATCCTGAAGGTACTTAATTTAATTTGTAAAGATTATTCGAGAAGTGTTTATTCTTACTAAAATTTCTTTTCTATTTTAGATCTGCATGAACCACACCATCCCGAAGGTAATTATTTTTATTTATAAATAATATTAGAGAAATATTTGTTCTAATTATAACAACATTTTTCTATTTTAGATCCATATGCACCACATCATCCTGAAGGTACTTATTTTAATTTGTAAAGATTATTCGAGAAATGTTTATTCTTACTAAAAACTTTTTTTCAATTTTAGATCTGCATGAACCACACCATCCCGAAGGTATTTATTTTAATTAATAAATAATATTAGAGAAATGTTTGTTCTTAATATAACAACGTTTTTCTATTTTAGATCCATATGCACCACATCATCCTGAAGGTACTTATTTTAATTTGTAAAGATTATTCAAGAAATGTTTGTTGTTATTACAATTTTTTTTTTCTATTTTAGATCTGCATGAACCACACCATCCCGAAGGTAATTATTTTAATTTATAAATAATATTAGAGAAATGTTTGTTATTACTATAAAAGCATTTTTCTATTTTAGATCCACATGCACCACATCATCCTGAAGGTACTTATTTTAATTTGTAAAGATTATTCAAGAAATGATTGTTCTTATTACATTTTTTTTTCTATTTTAGATCTGCATGAACCACACCATCCCGAAGGTAATTATTTTTATTTATAAATAATATTAGAGAAATATTTGTTCTAATTATAACAACATTTTTCTATTTTAGATCCATATGCACCACATCATCCTGAAGGTACTTATTTTAATTTGTAAAGATTATTCGAGAAATGTTTATTCTTATTACAATTTTTTTTCTATTTTAGATCTGCATGAACCACACCATCCCGAAGGTAATTATTTTAATTTATAAATAATATTAGAGAAATGTTTGTTATTACTATAAAAACATTTTTCTATTTTAGATCCACATGCACCACATCATCCTGAAGGTACTTATTTTAATTTGCAGTAAAGATTATTCGAGAAATGTTTATTCTTATTACAATTTTTTTTCTATTTTAGATCTGCATGAACCACACCATCCCGAAGGTAATTATTTTAATTTATAAATAATATTAGAGAAATGTTTGTTATTACTATAAAAACATTTTTCTATTTTAGATCCACATGCACCACATCATCCTGAAGGTACTTATTTTAATTTGTAAAGATTATTCAAGAAATGATTGTTCTTATTACAATTTTTTTTTCTATTTTAGATCTGCATGAACCACACCATCCCGAAGGTAATTATTTTTATTTATAAATAATATTAGAGAAATATTTGTTCTAATTATAACAACATTTTTCTATTTTAGATCCATATGCACCACATCATCCTGAAGGTACTTATTTTAATTTGTAAAGATTATTCGAGAAATGTTTATTCTTATTACAATTTTTTTTCTATTTTAGATCTGCATGAACCACACCATCCCGAAGGTAATTATTTTAATTTATAAATAATATTAGAGAAATGTTTGTTATTACTATAAAAACATTTTTCTATTTTAGATCCACATGCACCACATCATCCTGAAGGTACTTATTTTAATTTGCAGTAAAGATTATTCGAGAAATGTTTATTCTTATTACAATTTTTTTTCTATTTTAGATCTGCATGAACCACACCATCCCGAAGGTAATTATTTTAATTTATAAATAATATTAGAGAAATGTTTGTTATTACTATAAAAACATTTTTCTATTTTAGATCCACATGCACCACATCATCCTGAAGGTACTTATTTTAATTTGCAGTAAAGATTATTCGAGAAATGTTTATTCTTATTACAATTTTTTTTCTATTTTAGATCTGCATGAACCACACCATCCCGAAGGTAATTATTTTAATTTATAAATAATATTAGAGAAATGTTTGTTATTACTATAAAAACATTTTTCTATTTTAGATCCACATGCACCACATCATCCTGAAGGTACTTATTTTAATTTACAGTAAAGATTATTCGAGAAATGCTTATTTTTATTACACTTTTTTTTTATTTTAGATCTGCATGAACCACACCATCCCGAAGGTAATTATTTTAATTTATAAATAATATTAGAGAAATGTTTGTTATTACTATAAAAACATTTTTCTATTTTAGATCCACATGCACCACATCATCCTGAAGGTACTTATTTTAATTTGTAAAGATTATTCAAGAAATGTTTGTTCTTATTACAATTTTTTTTTCTATTTTAGATCTGCATGAACCACACCATCCCGAAGGTACTTATTTTAATTTGTAAAGAATATTCGAGAAATATTTATTCTTATTACATTTTTTTTTCTATTTTAGATCTGCATGAACCACACCATCCCGAAGGTAATTATTTTAATTTATAAATGATATTAGAGAAATGTTTGTTATTACTATAACAACATTTTTCCATTTTAGATCCACATGCACCACATCATCCTGAAGGTACTTATTTTAATTTGTAAAGATTATTCAAGAAATGTTTGTTCTTATTACAATTTTTTTTCTATTTTAGATCTGCATGAACCACACCATCCCGAAGGTAATTATTTTAATTTATAAATAATATTAGAGAAATGTTTGTTATTACTATAAAAACATTTTTCTATTTTAGATCCACATGCACCACATCATCCTGAAGGTACTTATTTTAATTTGTAAAGATTATTCAAGAAATGTTTGTTCTTATTACAATTTTTTTTCTATTTTAGATCTGCATGAACCACACCATCCCGAAGGTAATTATTTTAATTTATAAATAATATTAGAGAAATGTTTGTTCTTAATATAACAACGTTTTTCTATTTTAGATCCATATGCACCACATCATCCTGAAGGTACTTATTTTAATTTGTAAAGATCATTTGAGAAATTTTTATTCTTACTAATTTTTTTCTATTATAGATCTGCACGAACCACACCATCCCGAAGGTAATTATTTTAATTTATAAATAATATTAGAGAAATGTTTGTTATTACTATAACAACATTTTTCCATTTTAGATCCACATGCACCACATCATCCTGAAGGTACTTATTTTAATTTGTAAAGATTATTCGAGAAATGTATATTCTTATTACAATTTTTTTTTCTATTTTAGATCTGCATGAACCACACCATCCCGAAGGTACTTATTTTAATGTGTAAAGATTATTCGGGAAATGTTTATTCTTACTAAAATTTCTTTTCTATTTCCCGAAATATATTTATTTCAATTAATAAATATTATTAGAGAAATATTTGTTCTAATTTTAACAACATTTTTCTATTTTAGATCCATATGCACCACATCATCCTGAAGGTACTTATTTTAATTTGTAAAGATTATTCAAGAAATGTTTATTCTGACTAATTTTTTTTTCTATTTTAGATCTGCATGCACCACACCATCCCGAAGGTAATTATTTTAATTTATAAATAATATTAGAGAAACGTTTGTTCTTAATATAACAATATTTTTCTATTATAGATCCATATGCACCACATCATCCTGAAGGTACTTATTTTAATTTGTAAAGATTATTCGAGAAATGTTTATTCTGACTAATTTTTTTTTCTATTTTAGATCTGCATGCACCACACCATCCCGAGGGTAATTATTTTAATTTATAAATAATATTAGAGAAATGTTTGTTCTTAATATAACAACATTTTTCTATTATAGATCCATATGCACCACATCATCCTGAAGGTACTTGTTTTAATTTGTAAAGATTATTCGAGAAATGTTCATTCTTATTACATTTTTTTTCTATTTTAGATCTGCATGAACCACACCATCCCGAAGGTAATTATTTTAATTTATAAATAATATTAGAGAAATGTTTGTTCTTAATATAACAACGTTTTTCTATTTTAGATCCATATGCCCCACATCATCCTGAAGGTACTTATTTTAATTTGTAAAGATTATTGGAGAAATGTTTTTCTGACTATTTTTTTTTCTATTTTAGATCTGCATGCACCACACCATCCCGAAGGTAATTATTTTAATTTATAAATAATATTAGAGAAATGTTTGTTCTTAATATAACAATATTTTTCTATTTTAGATCCATATGCACCACATCATCCTGAAGGTACTTATTTCAATTTGTAAAGATTACTCAAGAAATGTTTATTCTGACTAATTTTTTTTTCTATTTTAGATCTGCATGCACCACACCATCCCGAAGGTAATTATTTTAATTTATAAATAATATTAGAGAAATGTTTGTTCTTAATATAACAATATTTTTCTATTTTAGATCCATATGAACCACATCATCCTGAAGGTACTTATTTCAATTTGTAAAGATTATTCGAGGAATGTTTATTCTTACGACAACAATATTTTTTTATTTTAGATCCATATGCCCCACATCATCCTGAAGGTACTTATTTTAATTTGTAAAGATTATTGGAGAAATGTTTATTCTGACTAATTTTTTTTTCTATTTTAGATCTGCATGCACCACACCATCCCGAAGGTAATTATTTTATTTTATAAATAATATTAGAGAAATGTTTGTTCTTAATATAACAATATTTTTCTATTTTAGATCCATATGCACCACATCATCCTGAAGGTACTTATTTCAATTTGTAAAGATTACTCAAGAAATGTTTATTCTGACTAATTTTTTTTTTCTATTTTAGATCTGCATGCACCACACCATCCCGAAGGTAATTATTTTAATTTATAAATAATATTAGAGAAATGTTTGTTCTTAATATAAGAATATTTTTCTATTTTAGATCCATATGAACCACATCATCCTGAAGGTACTTATTTCAATTTGTAAAGATTATTCGAGGAATGTTTATTCTTACGACAACAATATTTTTTTTATTTTAGATCCATATGCCCCACATCATCCTGAAGGTACTTATTTTAATTTGTAAAGATTACTCAAGAAATGTTTATTCTGACTAATTTTTTTTTCTATTTTAGATCTGCATGCACCACACCATCCCGAAGGTAATTATTTTATTTTATAAATAATATTAGAGAAATGTTTGTTCTTAATATAACAATATTTTTCTATTTTAGATCCATATGCACCACATCATCCTGAAGGTACTTATTTTAATTTGTAAAGATTACTCAAGAAATGTTTATTCTGACTAATTTTTTTTTTCTATTTTAGATCTGCATGCACCACACCATCCCGAAGGTAATTATTTTAATTTATAAATAATATTAGAGAAATGTTTGTTCTTAATATAACAATATTTTTCTATTTTAGATCCATATGCACCACATCATCCTGAAGGTACTTATTTTAATTTGTAAAGATTACTCAAGAAATGTTTATTCTGACTAATTTTTTTTTCTATTTTAGATCTGCATGCACCACACCATCCCGAAGGTAATTATTTTAATTTATAAATAATATTAGAGAAATGTTTGTTCTTAATATAACAATATTTTTCTATTTTAGATCTGCATGAACCACACCATCCCGAAGGTAATTATTTTAATTTATAAATAATATTAGAGAAATGTTTGTTATTACTATAAAAACATTTTTCTATTATAGATCCATATGCACCACATCATCCTGAAGGTACTTATTTTAATTTATAAATAATATTAGAGAAATGTTTGTTCTTAATATAACAACATTTTTCTATTTTAGATCCATATGCACCACATCATCCTGAAGGTACTTATTTTAATTTGCAAAGATTATTCGAGAAATGTTTATTCTTATTACAACATTATTTTTTTATTTTAGATCCATATGCACCACATCATCCTGAAGGTACTTATTTTAATTTGTAAAGATTATTCAAGAAATGTTTATTCTGACTAATTTTTTTTTTCTATTTTAGATCTGCATGCACCACACCATCCCGAAGGTAATTATTTTAATTTATAAATAATATTAGAGAAATGTTTGTTCTTAATATAACAATATTTTTCTATTATAGATCCATATGCACCACATCATCCTGAAGGTACTTAATTTATTTTATAAATAATATTAGAGAAATGTTTGTTCTTAATATAACAACATTTTTCTATTTTAGATCCATATGCACCACATCATCCTGAAGGTACTTGTTTTAATTTGTAAAGATTATTCGAGAAATGTTTATTCTTATTACATTTTTTTTCTATTTTAGATCTGCATGAACCACACCATCCCGAAGGTAATTATTTTAATTTATAAATAATATTAGAGAAATGTTTGTTCTTAATATAACAACATTTTTCTATTTTAGATCCATATGCCCCACATCATCCTGAAGGTACTTATTTTAATTTGTAAAGATTATTCGAAAAATGTTTATTCTTACTATTTTTTTTTTCTATTTTAGATCCATATGCACCACATCATCCTGAAGGTACTTATTTCAATTTGTAAAGATTATTCGAAAAATGTTTATTCTTACTATTTTTTTTCTATTTTAGATTTGCATGCACCACACCATCCCGAAAGTACTTATTTTAATTTATAAATAATATTAGAGAAATGTTTGTTCTTAATATAACAACATTTTTCTATTTTAGATCCATATGCACCACATCATCCTGAAGGTAATTATTTTAATTTGTAAAGATTATTGGAGAAATGTTTTTCTGACTAATTTTTTTTCTATTTTAGATCTGCATGCACCACACCATCCCGAAGGTAATTATTTTAATTTATAAATAATATTAGAGAAATGTTTGTTCTTAATATAACAATATTTTTCTATTATAGATCCATATGCACCACATCATCCTGAAGGTACTTATTTTAATTTGTAAAGATTATTCGAGAAACGTTTATTCTGACTATTTTTTTTTTCTATTTTAGATCTGCATGCACCACACCATCCCGAAGGTAATTATTTTAATTTATAAATAATATTAGAGAAATGTTTGTTCTTAATATAACAATATTTTTCTATTTTAGATCCATATGCACCACATCATCCTGAAGGTACTTATTTCAATTTGTAAAGATTATTCGAGGAATGTTTATTCTTACGACAACAATATTTTTTTTATTTTAGATCCATATGCACCACATCATCCTGAAGGTAATTATTTTAATTTATAAATAATATTAGAGAAATGTTTGTTCTTAATATAACAATATTTTTCTATTTTAGATCCATATGCAGCACATCATCCAGAAGGTACTTATTTCAATTTGTAAAGATTATTCGAAAAATGTTTATTCTTACTATTTTTTTTTCTATTTTAGATCTGCATGCACCACACCATCCCGAAAGTAATTATTTTAATTTATAAATAATATTAGAGAAATGTTTGTTCTTAATATAACAACATTTTTCTATTATAGATCCATATGCACCACATCATCCTGAAGGTACTTATTTTAATTTATAAATAATATTAGAGAAATGTTTGTTCTTAATATAACAACATTTTTCTATTTTAGATCCATATGCACCACATCATCCTGAAGGTACTTATTTTAATTTATAAATAATATTAGAGAAATGTTTGTTCTTAATATAACAACATTTTTCTATTTTAGATCCATATGCACCACATCATCCTGAAGGTACTTATTTTAATTTGTAAAGATTATTGGAGAAATGTTTTTCTGACTAATTTTTTTTTTCTATTTTAGATCTGCATGCACCACACCATCCCGAAGGTAATTATTTTAATTTATAAATAATATTAGAGAAATGTTTGTTCTTAATATAACAATATTTTTCTATTATAGATCCATATGCACCACATCATCCTGAAGGTACTTATTTTAATTTATAAAGATTATTCGAAAAATGTTTATTCTTACTATTTTTTTTTTCTATTTTAGATTTGCATGCACCACACCATCCTGAAAGTAATTATTTTAATTTATAAATAATATTAGAGAAATGTTTGTTCTTAATATAACAACATTTTTCTATTTTAGATCCATATGCCCCACATCATCCTGAAGGTACTTATTTTAATTTGTAAAGATTATTCGAAAAATGTTTATTCTTACTATTTTTTTTTTCTATTTTAGATCTGCATGCACCACACCATCCCGAAAGTAATTATTTTAATTTATAAATAATATTAGAGAAATGTTTGTTCTTAATATAACAACATTTTTCTATTATAGATCCATATGCACCACATCATCCTGAAGGTACTTATTTTAATTTATAAATAATATTAGAGAAATGTTTGTTCTTAATATAACAACATTTTTCTATTTTAGATCCATATGCACCACATCATCCTGAAGGTACTTATTTTAATTTGTAGAGATTATTGGAGAAATGTTTTTCTGACTAATTTTTTTTCTATTTTAGATCTGCATGCACCACACCATCCCGAAGGTAATTATTTTAATTTATAAATAATATTAGAGAAATGTTTGTTCTTAATATAACAACATTTTTCTATTTTAGATCCATATGCCCCACATCATCCTGAAGGTACTTATTTTAATTTATAAAGATTATTCGAAAAATGTTTATTCTTACTATTTTTTTTTCTATTTTAGATTTGCATGCACCACACCATCCCGAAAGTAATTATTTTAATTTATAAATAATATTAGAGAAATGTTTGTTCTTAATATAACAACATTTTTCTATTATAGATCCATATGCACCACATCATCCTGAAGGTACTTATTTTAATTTATAAATAATATTAGAGAAATGTTTGTTCTTAATATAACAACATTTTTCTATTTTAGATCCATATGCACCACATCATCCTGAAGGTACTTATTTTAATTTGTAGAGATTATTGGAGAAATGTTTTTCTGACTAATTTTTTTTCTATTTTAGATCTGCATGCACCACACCATCCCGAAGGTAATTATTTTAATTTATAAATAATATTAGAGAAATGTTTGTTCTTAATATAACAATATTTTCCTATTATAGATCCATATGCACCACATCATCCTGAAGGTACTTATTTTAATTTGTAAAGATTATTCAAGAAATGTTTATTCTGACTAATTTTTTTTTCTATTTTAGATCTGCATGCACCACACCATCCCGAAGGTAATTATTTTAATTTATAAATAATATTAGAGAAATGTTTGTTCTTAATATAACAATATTTTTCTATTATAGATCCATATGCACCACATCATCCTGAAGGTACTTATTTTAATTTATAAATAATATTAGAGAAATGTTTGTTCTTAATATAACAACATTTTTCTATTTTAGATCCATATGCACCACATCATCCTGAAGGTACTTATTTTAATTTGTAAAGATTATTCAAGAAATGTTTATTCTGACTAATTTTTTTTTTCTATTTTAGATCTGCATGCACCACACCATCCCGAAGGTAATTATTTTAATTTATAAATAATATTAGAGAAATGTTTGTTCTTAATATAACAATATTTTCCTATTATAGATCCATATGCACCACATCATCCTGAAGGTACTTATTTTAATTTGTAAAGATTATTCAAGAAATGTTTATTCTGACTAATTTTTTTTTTCTATTTTAGATCTGCATGCACCACACCATCCCGAAGGTAATTATTTTAATTTATAAATAATATTAGAGAAATGTTTGTTCTTAATATAACAATATTTTTCTATTATAGATCCATATGCACCACATCATCCTGAAGGTACTTATTTTAATTTATAAATAATATTAGAGAAATGTTTGTTCTTAATATAACAACATTTTTCTATTTTAGATCCATATGCACCACATCATCCTGAAGGTACTTATTTTAATTTGTAAAGATTATTCAAGAAATGTTTATTCTGACTAATTTTTTTTCTATTTTAGATCTGCATGCACCACACCATCCCGAAGGTAATTATTTTAATTTATAAATAATATTAGAGAAATGTTTGTTCTTAATATAACAATATTTTCCTATTATAGATCCATATGCACCACATCATCCTGAAGGTACTTATTTTAATTTGTAAAGATTATTCAAGAAATGTTTATTCTGACTAATTTTTTTTTTCTATTTTAGATCTGCATGCACCACACCATCCCGAAGGTAATTATTTTAATTTATAAATAATATTAGAGAAATGTTTGTTCTTAATATAACAATATTTTTCTATTATAGATCCATATGCACCACATCATCCTGAAGGTACTTATTTTAATTTATAAATAATATTAGAGAAATGTTTGTTCTTAATATAACAACATTTTTCTATTTTAGATCCATATGCACCACATCATCCTGAAGGTACTTATTTTAATTTGTAAAGATTATTGGAGAAATGTTTTTCTGACTAATTTTTTTTCTATTTTAGATCTGCATGCACCACACCATCCCGAAGGTAATTATTTTAATTTATAAATAATATTAGAGAAATGTTTGTTCTTAATATAACAACATTTTTCTATTTTAGATCCATATGCCCCACATCATCCTGAAGGTACTTATTTTAATTTATAAAGATTATTCGAAAAATGTTTATTCTTACTATTTTTTTTTCTATTTTAGATTTGCATGCACCACACCATCCCGAAAGTAATTATTTTAATTTATAAATAATATTAGAGAAATGTTTGTTCTTAATATAACAACATTTTTCTATTATAGATCCATATGCACCACATCATCCTGAAGGTACTTATTTTAATTTATAAATAATATTAGAGAAATGTTTGTTCTTAATATAACAACATTTTTCTATTTTAGATCCATATGCACCACATCATCCTGAAGGTACTTATTTTAATTTGTAGAGATTATTGGAGAAATGTTTTTCTGACTAATTTTTTTTCTATTTTAGATCTGCATGCACCACACCATCCCGAAGGTAATTATTTTAATTTATAAATAATATTAGAGAAATGTTTGTTCTTAATATAACAATATTTTCCTATTATAGATCCATATGCACCACATCATCCTGAAGGTACTTATTTTAATTTGTAAAGATTATTCAAGAAATGTTTATTCTGACTAATTTTTTTTTCTATTTTAGATCTGCATGCACCACACCATCCCGAAGGTAATTATTTTAATTTATAAATAATATTAGAGAAATGTTTGTTCTTAATATAACAATATTTTTCTATTATAGATCCATATGCACCACATCATCCTGAAGGTACTTATTTTAATTTATAAATAATATTAGAGAAATGTTTGTTCTTAATATAACAACATTTTTCTATTTTAGATCCATATGCACCACATCATCCTGAAGGTACTTATTTTAATTTGTAAAGATTATTCAAGAAATGTTTATTCTGACTAATTTTTTTTTTCTATTTTAGATCTGCATGCACCACACCATCCCGAAGGTAATTATTTTAATTTATAAATAATATTAGAGAAATGTTTGTTCTTAATATAACAATATTTTCCTATTATAGATCCATATGCACCACATCATCCTGAAGGTACTTATTTTAATTTGTAAAGATTATTCAAGAAATGTTTATTCTGACTAATTTTTTTTTTCTATTTTAGATCTGCATGCACCACACCATCCCGAAGGTAATTATTTTAATTTATAAATAATATTAGAGAAATGTTTGTTCTTAATATAACAATATTTTTCTATTATAGATCCATATGCACCACATCATCCTGAAGGTACTTATTTTAATTTATAAATAATATTAGAGAAATGTTTGTTCTTAATATAACAACATTTTTCTATTTTAGATCCATATGCACCACATCATCCTGAAGGTACTTATTTTAATTTGTAAAGATTATTCAAGAAATGTTTATTCTGACTAATTTTTTTTCTATTTTAGATCTGCATGCACCACACCATCCCGAAGGTAATTATTTTAATTTATAAATAATATTAGAGAAATGTTTGTTCTTAATATAACAATATTTTCCTATTATAGATCCATATGCACCACATCATCCTGAAGGTACTTATTTTAATTTGTAAAGATTATTCAAGAAATGTTTATTCTGACTAATTTTTTTTTTCTATTTTAGATCTGCATGCACCACACCATCCCGAAGGTAATTATTTTAATTTATAAATAATATTAGAGAAATGTTTGTTCTTAATATAACAATATTTTTCTATTATAGATCCATATGCACCACATCATCCTGAAGGTACTTATTTTAATTTATAAATAATATTAGAGAAATGTTTGTTCTTAATATAACAACATTTTTCTATTTTAGATCCATATGCACCACATCATCCTGAAGGTACTTATTTTAATTTGCAAAGATTATTCGAGAAATGTTTATTCTTACTACAACATTATTTTTTTATTTTAGATCCATATGCACCACATCATCCTGAAGGTACTTATTTTAATTTGTAAAGATTATTCGAGAAACGTTTATTCTTAATACAACAATTTTTTTTATTTTAGATCCATATGCACCACATCATCCTGAAGGTACTTATTTTAATTTGTAAAGATTATTCGAGAAATGTTTATTCTTACGACAACAATATTTTTCTATTTTAGATCCACATGCACCACATCATCCTGAAGGTACTTATTTTAATTTGTAAAGATTATTCGAGAAACGTTTATTCTTAATACAACAATTTTTTTTATTTTAGATCCATATGCACCACATCATCCTGAAGGTACTTATTTTAATTTGTAAAGATTATTCAAGAAATGTTTATTCTGACTAATTTTTTTTTTCTATTTTAGATCTGCATGCACCACACCATCCCGAAGGTAATTATTTTAATTTATAAATAATATTAGAGAAATGTTTGTTCTTAATATAACAATATTTTTCTATTATAGATCCATATGCACCACATCATCCTGAAGGTACTTATTTTAATTTATAAATAATATTCGAAAAATGTTTATTCTTACTATTTTTTTTCTATTTTAGATCTGCATCCACCACACCATCCCGAAAGTAATTATTTTAATTTATAAATAATATTAGAGAAATGTTTGTTCTTAATATAACAACATTTTTCTATTATAGATCCATATGCACCACATCATCCTGAAGGTACTTATTTTAATTTATAAATAATATTAGAGAAATGTTTGTTCTTAATATAACAACATTTTTCTATTTTAGATCCATATGCACCACATCATCCTGAAGGTACTTATTTTAATTTGCAAAGATTATTCGAGGAATGTTTATTCTTACGACAACAATATTTTTTTTATTTTAGATCTGCATGCACCACACCATCCCGAAGGTAATTATTTTAATTTATAAATAATATTAGAGAAATGTTTGTTCTTAATATAACAACATTTTTCTATTTTAGATCCATATGCACCACATCATCCTGAAGGTACTTATTTTAATTTATAAAGATTTTTAGAGATATGTTTATTCTTACTACAACATTATTTTTTTATTTTAGATCCATATGCACCACATCATCCTGAAGGTACTTATTTTAATTTGTAAAGATTATTCGAGAAATGTTTATTCTTACTACAACATTATTTTTTTATTTTAGATCCATATGCACCACATCATCCTGAAGGTACTTATTTTAATTTGCAAAGATTATTCGAGAAATGTTTATTCTTACTACAACATTATTTTTTTATTTTAGATCCATATGCACCACATCATCCTGAAGGTACTTATTTTAATTTGTAAAGATTATTCGAGAAACGTTTATTCTTAATACAACAATTTTTTTTATTTTAGATCCATATGCACCACATCATCCTGAAGGTACTTATTTTAATTTGTAAAGATTATTCGAGAAATGTTTATTCTTACGACAACAATATTTTTCTATTTTAGATCCGTATGCACCCCATCATCCCGAAGGTACTTATTTTAATTTATAAAGATTTTTAGAGATATGTTTGGTCTTATTATAACATTTTTTTTTCTATTTTAGATCCGTATGCACCACATCATCCCGAAGGTACAAATCTAAATTTTTAAAAGACAAGAAATCAAGAACAATTAAATCAAGAAATTTTTGTTCCTATGATATCAATATTTTATTATTTTAGATCCGTATGCACCAGATTGTCCCGAAGGTACAAATCTAAATTTTTAAAAGACAATTTTTCAAGAAATTAATGTTCCTTTGATCTCAATATTGTAATATTTTAGATCCGTATGCGCCACATTATCCCGAAGGTACTATTCAAAAATTTCAAAAGACAGTTAATCAAGAAATTAATGTTCCTATGAAATCAATATCTTATTATTTTAGATCCACATGCACCCTATCATCCTGATGGTACGAATTAAAATTTTTTATAATTTTATAATTCTAAATGCAAATAATTATCATTCAAAATTAACACATATAAATTATTGCAGATCCGTATGTTCCGTATCTGCCAGAAGGTATGCGAATAAATTATCAAAAATCATCCGAATTAATTCAATATTTTTATTTTAGATGTGTATCCACCATATCCTCTTGAAGGTTCGTATTCAAATTTTGAATAATTCCCAATTCAAATAGTTATCATTCAAAATTAACACAGTTAAATTATTACAGATCCGTATGGGCCACATAAACCAGAAAGTATGAACATAAATTATCAAAAATCATTGGAATTAACCAATATTTTTTTTAGATCCATATGCACCACATTATCCTGAAGGTAAAATTATAATATATTATACATAGTATATACCTACAATATTTTTTAGTATTTTGTATTAATTCAAATTATTGCTCTAGATTCTTATGATCATCATCATGATGAATGTATGTGTTACAATGAAACAAACATTACCTATTTGTATATATTTTTTAATACCTTTCAAATCTTTAACCTTTTAACTTTTTAGAAATGATTTTTCTTTTCCAGATATTTATGATGAAGTCGTAGCCGAAGGTCTGTACAACAAAATTACTATCTACAATTGATTAATAATTATTGTATTAGAGATAAATGCTAATTAAACCTACTAATTCAAACATATTTGCAGATCCCTACTATCCTGAAGGTGCGTATAAATTTCAATTCATTGTCCTTTCATTTATTTACCTTTCCTATTAAGTTATTTGATTTTACAGAGTTGTACAGGCCATCAGGACATCAAGTAGGTAGGTATTGTACATTATCTTAATATAAAATTATTTAAATACAATAAAAACATTTTTTTTATTTTTTGGCGGTAATAAGGGTAAGTGCATATTAATTTTTACACCGATGTTTCTGCAAATAGAGCAATATTGAATGAGCTTTACATACTAATGATCTGGTACATTGCAGATACTGGAGATTTTGAAAATGAGGATGACTGGTCTCATGGTACGTTGATTTGACGTAATAATATAAATATTCGAGATTATTAACAAAAACAAAATGATACAAATTTAAAAGTTACAAAACCTTTCTTAACAAAACATTTATTTTTTTACCTACTGCCACCTACGCCTCGTAGGTACTGATAATTTTACTCCCGTTCGATTTCGATACTTATTCATTGCTATATTTTAGCTGCAAAAATTGCCGAGCAAATACAGGATACCTTAGAATTTTCAAATGACATTCTACCTACTATTAACAATTTAGGTGGGTAACAATTGACAAAAAATACAATCTGTTAACGTTTTTTAAAAGAATACAACTGAAAAAAAAATATTGAAACGATCGAATTAGCTTAAATTACCTTTGCTCTCTCTATTAGATACATTTTGAAGTTCAAATATCCTTCTCCGATATATTACTGAATAAACTGAAACAATCTGTATTCCATTTAATCCTCAACCCTTCGGTACGTTTCCAAAAATATTCCAATTCCCTTTAGGATCGTTGGTGAAAATGATAGACTTTTATTCACTAAATGTTTCAGTCCCATCATCCCCAGATTATTACGACAACCAACCATTAGACATGCATGATTTGCCTATCGAGCTAAACGGTGCAGGTTGCAGTTGCAAAGAAAACCACGCCTGCGGTTGTTGCTTCAACATCAATTTAGTGTTCCTAGAGTCATCAGGTTGGTTCGAAAAACGCTATAACCTAATCATTCTCGCCCTTTCAACGCTGTACATTTTTTAAGGATGCGCGATGTTTAAGTACGTAGACCTGCAAACTATGGAGGTAGCAATTCAATACAACGATGAGAATTTACTCCACGCTACTCTAACCAGTAAGTGTTTGAGACTTAAAATGTTCTGTTTGAATTATAAATTCGTAATGTAATTTTTCAGTTGATCATGCAGCGTGGCAAAAAGGATCGACTAGGTCTCTCAAGCGCGGTATAAGTGAGTAGTTGATTTATGTACTTTGTAAATTGGCCTTCCACTTGTATATTAATACAGTACCACATTCAGTAAAAACGTGAATTTGATCCGAAGTAAATTTATTAGGGCATAAATTGGTATATATTTTTTTCTAGAATCGAAACCAAAAACCTATTGCTTCCCCATAAAGCACCAGACGCCGTTCTTGGAGCTGCCAATATCCGCTTGTGTTGCCGTGGAAAATATGAAAGTGAAACCCAACAGTTTGTCTATGTGCATAAAAGTGGAACTGAGACTGTCGAATTTGAACAGTTTAAGGCACAACTTCGGTTGCGTAGAGATGAAAGTGAAGCCGAACGAGAAGAAAAACAATTTGCATCACGAAGGAAAGATGCCGATGAAGCAGATGCAACGAAAAGGCGGGAAGCACAAGATGATAAAGCATGAAGTCGATAAAAAGAAATTTGAAATGCCTACGAGAAAATTCAAATTCGAATGGCCGATCTACCCGATAACTATTTAACCGACGAGTTCTTAATAATGCTTGATTTTATAGAATAAACTATGTAGAGTACTGTTGTGTGTTTTCAATTATTGATGCCTACTTTTAAAACATCTATTCATTTTTCTTCATTCAGTTCTACAAGAAAGCTTCGCAGCTTTATAAGAAAGCTGAAGAGTTCTATAAGAAAACTCTACAGTTCTATCTTCTTCTTCATGAATGAGGCGCTGGAAATGGCAACGAATCTACTCAGAGTAATGAGAAAAATGACAATTTATAAATTAACAGTTATATATTTCAACATTAAAAAGTGTAAATCAGTTCAATTTCAATACATAGCACAATTCGTCTTGCTAAATCTTTATTATAAAATCGCTCCTACTACTCAACTACCTCTTACAACACTTATGAATGTTATAAAAACAGCGTCCAAAAAATTAGATAATTAAAATCGGATAAAAATTCGTCGTATTTGTTAATTAATTGTTCCTTTTTATTCAAAATAGAAAATAATCAATATACCTTTTTGGATACTGCGTACTCATATTTATATAAATACATTTACATACCTACCAAATATATTACTAGCATTTAACAAATAAAAAGGTTGTTTAAATTGTTAAACACTTTTCGGAATGTTTATAAAATTTTATATAAAAAAATCCCAATAAATACGATGTATAAAGTTATGTTAATTGATGTTACAACGAGTTCTAAGCGTTGCTATTCGTTAAAAAAATGTATGTCCTACAAACTATTCGTTCATCACAAAGTTATCAAGCTATAAAATGGTAAAAATTGATTATCAAAAATTTCCAACTGCGCATTATAAGTCGAATGGACTTGTTGTTGAATAATGAATTGATACAATATTAATTCATCTATTGATATTGTATTAATAAATTAAAATATTGTCGATTAAATGAGCAAAATTATCCGTACCATTCATCAGTGAGCATATTTTCTGTATTAATCCAAACAATTCCACTCGACAACAATCTATTCGAAATACAAACGAAAAAATAAAACGATAATATAAACTATCAATTAGTAAAAAATATATTTACAGCAAATTAAAAAAAAAACAGAAACAAATATACAAACCTCAAAATATTCGAGCATTTATTCAAGCGATATTTCCTTCGAATTTTCCTATACAAAAAAATAACCAACATTCTACTGCCTCCTGCCGTTCGTCACGATCCTCTCCCTGCTGTCCTCGCGCGTCGTCGAGTTCCTCCTGGGCGGCGAGTTGCCCGTCCCCACTCGGCTCTTCCTCGACCTCTTGAACTTCGCTATGTCTTCCCCGTACACGTCGCCAGTCCTCAACGCCGATATCAAGTCATCGAACTCGCCCTTATCACCGTTCTTATCGTTCCTCTTCAAGTTCAGGCTCTTGTTGATCGACGTCAAAATGCCTGCGAACCGACAATTTGTTAGGCTCCAGCAGGATAATCACAATAGAAGATCAGGGGGAGTAGGAGAGGAGTAGGAGAGTAGTAGGAGAGTAGTAGGAGAGTAGTAGGAGAGTAGTAGGAGAGGAGCAGGAGAGGAGTAGGAGAGGAGTAGGAGAGGAGTAGGAGAGGAGTAGGAGAGGAGTAGAAGAGGAGTAGGAGAGGCGTAAGAGAGGAGTAGGAGAGTAGTAGCAGTATGTAGGTTAATGATCACAAGAATGGTACTGGTTGGGCTGGAAGCTTATAAGCAAAATGCTTCACATTAGGAAGAAGGAGAAGAAGTATGGGGCTACTTACGAGCTCTTGAAAGAGACTGGTAATTCTATGAATCGACAACATTGGGGTTTGTAAATGGGTTTGGGGCTGGTTGGTTAGGAGCTTCCCGCGGGGCGCGAGAACGATTCACTTCCAATTTACAAAGGGCGGTAGGGACTCGAAAAAAATTAACGAAATCGAATCGACTATCGCGTGGTCAACCAATCGAACATACCCTCTCGGCTGTGCTTCCGTTCGAGCGTCAGCTTCTTGAGCTCCGCCTCCTGCTTGGCGCGCTTCTCCTCCTCCTCCTGCCTCCTGCGCATGTTCTCGTTGTCCTGTCGGGCCTCGCCGAAGGCGTTCAAAAAGGTGTCGAAGATGCCGAAGAACTCGTCCGGCTGCGTGGTGTTGGGGTCCTCGCCGAAGAGGCGAACTGCCCTGTCGAATCGATTCTACAAAAAAAACCAAATATATACACTGTATCACTAGTAAAAGATTAGTTAGTAGATTAGGTATACCTTCATGTCCTGATATTGGTCTTCGATCTCGGCGAGCCTGCAGGTGGCGGTGGCTTGGAACTCCCTCATAACCGGTATGAACATGTCGTTGGCTAAGGGACTTTGACTGTTGTGGTATTCGATTTCGTTGGCCACGTCCTTCAAGCCGGCTCGCAATTGAGCCATGTCTTTGTTCAACTCTCCTAAACAAACTTTGGCCGCTTCCCGAACGTGCGGTAGATCGTCGTCTAACCGCAGGACGTCTTTGAACTGCAAACGCAAACGTTGAGAAACTTCTTAAAGGTAGAGAAAACGATTTTATAATACCTTCTTTTCGAGGACTTGCACCAAGTAATGTAGGAGCGTGGTGCCCTTGGAAGCGCTGGATTTGGTATCGCCCAGTCGGTTGAGGGAGGTCAGTCGGAAACCTGAGGCGTTGCCTCTGGCGCCGCGGTTCATGTAGTTGCCCAGCGCCAGGACGATTTCGAGGATTTTCCTGAGCCGCCTGGAGCGGGACACCTCTCTGGAGGCCTCCATCACGCTGGTGATCCTCGGCGATATTTCGTTCAGGGTAACTTGGAAGCGTTTCCTGTAGTTGAGGCTTTTCAAACGTTGCTCGTACCTCGGCACCCTAAAGTTCAATAATGAAATTAGCTGGTAAAGAAGCGAGCTGGTGAAGATATACGTACTTTGATATCTCGAACAGGAACCTATCGGCCCTGGCCAACGAGTCGATTTCGTCGCTGTGTTCTTCCAATAGAGCAGTTTCTTCGGAACTCGGCGTGAACTTCAACAACTGCTCGATCATGTCCATAGGAAGTTGCTCCTTGCTGTCCATAGTCAATATGGCTTTGGTGATATCTTCATCGGACATCTTCAATTTCGACAACAAGATGGTACAATTCTGAGCGCGCCTACCATCGATAACCGAAAGTATTTTCGATCGATTCTTGCCTATATGCCGGAGATCTTCTATCGAACCGTCGTTCTACAAAAACGTCCACGTTATCGTTCAAACGCCAAAGCGATTACAATCGAAACTTACAGCGACGCCGTTCTTCTGGTAAGCGCAGAACAACTTATCGATGCTGTCCAACTCCATGGTGTTGTAGAGCTTGCTGTCGTCCAGCTCGCTCCAAATGGTCCCGTTCAGCTTCGCGTCGGGCAGCTTCGACCAGTTGAAGCTCTTCAACGGCTGCGTCGGCTGCGGCACGTTCTTCTTCGCGAGGCCCACCTTGAGCGGCTCCGAGGGCGGCGCGACGGGCGCGCACGGCGGCGGCGGCGGTCCGGGAGGCCCGGGCGGCGGCGGGGGAGCCAACGGCGGCGGCGGCGGTATTTTCGTCAGCTCGCCTCGACTCTCCACGGAGGCGTCCAGGGATTTGTTGAGGCCGATGGCCTTGGCGTCGTCGGGAATCGAGCCGGAGTTGACGAGCAGCTCCAGGCGGTGGCGTTCGCCTCGTTCGCAGTTGATTTGACGGTCCAGTTCCGCTGTTTTGTATTCCAGTTCGTTTAACCTGTTTAATAGATGCGTCAGTAAATTCAATGTAGAATTAGAACGGTCGGTTTACCTTTGTCGGGTCTCGATGTGCGAGCTGGTTTCTTTCTCCAGGCGCTCCTTGAACCTATTCACGCTCGTTTCCAAGTCTTCCTTTTCCTGGGTTCTTTGATCCAATTCCTGTTCTTTTTTGGCCAATTTATTGGACATGTCGATGTTCTCCTTTTCCAGTTCGTCGGCCTTCTGTCTGGCGGCTATCAGTTCCTCTTCTTTGGCTAAAAGATGGACGACTTCTTTGACGTTTATGTCGATGGCAGAAACGTCCGGGTTCTTAACGGAACTATCGTTGCTTTGTTGTTGCAAAACGATTTGCTGGACTATCCTATCGAACAGCAACCAATGCTGCGGATACGAACCGTAATCTAATGGCAACAGCAAGCAATGCTCCAAAAGAGATAGAAGGTGTGGATATGCAGCGGTGTGAGATAACTTTTTCCTACCCAAAACAATGTTATTAGTTAAGAAAATGTAGGATTACATCGTCGATTGTACCTGAGGATTTCGAACATAGAGGTAGCGCTTTTGGTGTCGATGTGTTCCTGCTCGAACTTCCTCGCCAGCTCCTTCTCGTCCTCGTTCCTCACGATTTCGAAGAAGTCCAAGTGGCGGTTGAGCGTCTCGTTCTCGTGGCCGCGCAGCTTGTCGATCACCGGCTGGATGCCGAGCATCAGAAACTCGTAGCGCAGGTGCAACCGGAACTCCAGGTTCTCCTCGCCCTGGCCGTAGTTCAGCACGGCGTTGACGAACGACATGATGGCCGTCTTCAGGTTGACCTCGTCTCTGTAGACGCCCGTCGATCGGTCCAAGTCGTTGACGATGCTCTGGAAGCGCGTCCGTTCGAACGTGTACTTCTGGTAGTGCAGCATGGCGTCGAGGACCTTCTTGTGGCCGCCGGACACCAAGCACACGGCGCCGAGGATCTCCAAAGCGGCGATTTTGGTCTTGATGTTTTCGGTGCTCAGCGATTGAGCGATGGTGTTGATGCTGGTAGGATGCGCTAATACGTGCGCACGACCAGTCTAATAACAAAGTAGACTTTAGAGCTAGACGGGATAGTTTGCGTGTGTACTTACCGAATTATTCATAAGAGCTTTGACGCAGCCAATGAAACTGGTATGTATTGAGCTTTGAGCGGTGAAGTAATCCATGCGTTCTAAGCACTCCAGAAGGGCCGTCAGGCCGTTGAGCTCGATGAATTTTATCACGAAACTGTGCGTGGATGTACGCAAAGCAGTCTTCAGTCCGTCGATTTGTTTGGTCCTCGATCTGACTTCTTCTTCGGTGTTGGTTTCAGGGTATTCCAGCTGGAAAATCGAGCAAACATTGGGGTCAAATGGTACGTTTTGTGCGTTTACTGACTCACCGTTGCCAGGTTTTGTAGTCTTTCGATGTACAGCTCCGGAGCGTGCGTTTGGTCCTCGGTGTCTTCGCCTTTTCTTGAGCAGTAAATTTGCCATTTCTTCTGCGGCGGAAGGCTCATCATTGCAGCCTTATTCGGCGCTGTTAGATCTAATTCCTCCTGCAAATTAATACAACTCATTGAAGATGAAACTTAGACCCTGATGCAATCTGTTTATGTTATGGAGAAGGTACGATAGATTACTTAATAAAGACAAAATAACGTTAATGTCAATGTATGTAACTAATTAATTAATTAGAAAAGTGTGTGATGCTACAAATCGCGTTGGTTGCATAATAAATAGCGAAACAAACCTAATTCCATATTAACTAAGTAATTCTAATTACAATAAAAGCTGTCTTCCTCGAACGAAAAGGAAAAGAAAAAAATTTACTTTCTCGATTCCTTTTTTGTATCTGTGTTAGCTGTTTGTGTCACTGGATTGAACATTTAATCGCTTACGCAAATCGAATGAGTGCAAAACTAGAGTGAAAAGCGATGCAATCATGAATAAAAATTTCAATTAAAAAAATGCTTAACATTAGGAGAAATAATAAGCCAATAGTAATTTAATAATTTATGGACTGCCTTGGTAGTTATTTTATAACCTTTCGCACTTTCAACGATGTGCTTCTGCCTATTTTCAGCATTACCTCACTAATCTAATAAGAATTTGTGTTTTCCGTTCGTATGTAAATAAAATCTTAAAACATATTCATAATTACTATGTAAAATATATAAATAATAAAGTTGCTACATCTTCTATGTATCCTACAGAAAGTATTCTTGGATGCATTGGGTTTCACATTAATTCCTGGGATACCATTATTGTGTATTAACTTACCACAAGTTCTGCGAATTTGGTGTCAAGTTCTTCCTGCGAGGGCATCGGTTGTGTAGGAGTTATAGCTTGAAGGGTGAGAGTTCCAGTGTTTTCCACCACGCAGTATGTTATTTCGGGTGGTTCATCATCCTGTAACAAAAAAGAATAGTTACGCTGTTTTCTTCATTTTAACTATTAATCAAGTCAAATTCTGAATTAACAGCAATTAAAAAATAGTAAATTATATTTCAATTGTATTTACAGTGCGAGAGGAATTACTGTAGACGAAACCTGCGCGACTTTCTTGCGCGTCAAATACATAGCTCGAGTGTACTGTTATTTCTGCTGCACTGTATACACAGTTAATTGATGTAATGCGAAGCAACTGCAGTGCGCTGATTGTAAAATCCCGGATAAAAGAAGAAAAATAAGATGTATAGAGACGAAACAAAACGAATTTACGGTCGAGCGTACTTCGTATTTCTTTGATTGCATTATGATGACGAATAATAAAGCGAAATCGACCGTTACCTTCTAATCGAAAGCAGAAGCCATAATGGGCTGTCTTAATTTACTTCGCATGCACTTGCAGCTAAATTAACCCATTAAATCTACTTAGGATAAAGGACTGCGGCGTATAATTTGTATATATTAAAAAGTTAAAAAAAATTAAAAATTAAAAAAAATTAAAGTTAAAAAATTAAAAACATAAAAAAACTAGAATTATGTCATTAAGTAGGACCTAGATATACCCGTATTTTTGTTGATTTTATTCATGTATTCATATGTGCGAAACCATATGAAGAAAATCGACAATTAATCAACATTATTGAAATAGTATTCAAATTTTGCACTCTACGAGGAAATTACGAAAACGGAACGGTAAACAATTTTAGTGTAGCTTTTTACGTAATATCATTAAAAAATCAGTTCCTCGATGATCATGCATACAAAAATTTCCAAAGCGAAGGCAATCGTACAACACTAATCAGTATAATCTTCATATTATTATTATACGAAAAACAGATTATAAACTACTAGTTTGCCCAACAAAGATCCATTGCAAGCAGACTAATCGAGTTTTTAAACAAATGTTGGTGCATATCTTTTGAAATAGAAATTCTGCAACGTCAAAGTAAGTAAAAAATACCATCATTTTAATCCAACAAAGCTGAACTTGAACTTGTACCAAGTCATTACAAGCACCACTTAGAATCCAAATAAACGAATTTCATTTTCATTTCGACTTGATCGTCGAAATCGCTCGAAGAGCGGACGGGCGGCGTCCGACGGGCCCGTCATCGAAAAACATAATAGCCCCGAGACGATAATTTTACTACACGAAAAATAATTAAATTTTATTCTCGGCCTCGGGGCACCTTCTAAACGATTCACTTTCGATTTACAGGAATGTCGCAGCGGGCCTTTTATTCCCATCGAATTTTTACAGATCCGGCTCCGGCAGATTCTTCTTTCCATTGACAAAGCCCCAAAGACTTTGCATTGACTCTTAACCAAACAAGAATACACCAGAGATATAATACTGGAGAATAGTAGATGTAGAGGTTAGAAGTTCAAAAGAACTTCTATGAATGGGTTAAATAAATCTCCCTAAAAGTAGAGGGAATTTTAAAGTGGAACTTTGCGCGTTATCCTTAAAGTGGTGCTATTAAAATTATGGCTAGAGAGATCCGATCCTGTGTCAATAATTTCGTCGGAATGCGATTTTAATAAGAAATTACATTTTGTTATCGAAAGCCCGTTCTCCATTCTCAATATGTACGGCATAAATTCGTCGTGTCGGTAAATATCCATTGTTGGAAAAAATGTTACTTTCATTTGTTAGAGGGCAATTTCTATTTCAGCGTTTCCATCGTCGCTCCATAACGTGGGCGTCTTTAATAAATTTACGATCGTAAATGAGACGTAACTTACGTTAGGTTAGGTCCATTCGCTAATTATATTAATAAGGAGTAATGGAATTTTACGCGAAATCGGTTTGATTCTTCTTCTCTGCGTCGTTAAACTTGCTTTATGGATATTTTATTTAGATTTACGTACTACGAAGATAGCTTACAAGGGACATTGCAATTGCAAGAAATATAAATTTGTAAATAGGAAAAACCGTTAATATGCAAATTGTAAATAGGAATTCAGCATTAATTAATAAAATTGCTGATTGATACAGTTAACTAACTGTAGTTGATGCAAAAAAAATGAAAGGGCTGATAATAACCGATAATTCTCCTTCTGGTTACGTCCTTGACTTGGAAGGTCTACATTCTTCGACTTACTTTCTCTTATTTTCGAAGTTTTAAACCATTATTATTACTTTTACTTATAATATATATTACCTGTGCATACATATAAACACACACTCACTTGTACGCATATTTAAATGCGATTATTGCTATACAAGGAGATACAACAAGCACGCATTGAATACTTCTATAGTGTAATTGTAATAATTTTGCTTAATAAAATACTGGGACGATTTATTAGAATAACAAGCATAGGAAATTTTAAACAATTCTACTCCGGTTTCTTGAGAAAGAAAATTTAATTTATAAATTAGAAAATTATTTCAGCAACTTTCATAGTGTAAGTTCAGGAAATTATAAAGAATGCAACATGAATTTCTCTTTGAAATATCCAAAAATTTTTCATAAATACAGGTTATTATCCAACCCATTAATGATTAGAGCGTTAGATAACTTAATGGCCCGCTTAAAAAATATGAACTTAAATTATGGATCGCTCTTCAAGGACAATTAATTAACGCACGAAAATTACAGGTCGTTGGGTATTCCAAAAGAAAAAAACGATTAAAAATTTACCATTACGAATAACATTTCCATAATCGGGTCTCGTCTCCGCGTCGAGATTAATGCGCTTCGATTAATGTAATTTCGATAAGTACCTTCTACGAGTGTATTATTGTGATTAATAATTCGAATATGCCGGACGGAGAACGTTCGAACGAACGTCTCAATCTCCACTGCCTAGGTAAACAATTGTAATTTTCAGCTTTTATTTATAGGTAGGCAGATAAAATTCACCTGGTCGTTGAACTAAAATCGTTCGAAACGATAACAATGCGTTGCCAGCGCTCGTGAAATTGGTTTTTAACGCAAAAATAAAACTTAGGAATTCCAAATTTATTGTACGCCCAATGCACACAAACTATCCGCAAGTTCTTATAATTTTTATGTTTGTTGAACATAACCAGGCGCGAATGAATCAAAGAAATGTTGAACCAATTTTTTAGTGCTTTTCTCCCAAGTTTTGTTGCTTGCATATTGTCTTTGTTAGAATGCAGATTAGCTAGAAGACGGTCAAAACTGTCTACTTATTAGTTTTATTGGAAAACCCCAGTAAAATTGAACGACTTACTTGGAAACAGCCGCACCAGCCGCGCTTGGATCGCACGGCTGGCATGGCTGGAATGTGCAATCGAGGCAGGGCGTTGGTTAAATTATCCCACGCTGGAAGTTTCAACGAACACTTCGGCAACCCCTGTAACAAAAACCAAAATAACTACCACATAAACACAGATCGCAAGGGCATTCAACAAAACCGCATTTTCGCCAGGAAGGATAATGGTTTCGTTATATCGAAACCAATTTTCCATACGAACGTAATTACGAGCGGTATACAATTCCAGCCGCATATACTCGATATCGAGCGTCTTCCTTGCGCATTTCCGAAGGTAAAAAAAACCGCCTCGAAGGATAGGTAAATTCATCTCGTTATTATAGTGTAACAGTAATAGAGATTAGTTATACAGTCTAAGCGAGAATAATAATCGTGGAGGAAGCGACGCCTTCGGATGATGGAAGAGCGCGTTGAGAGCGCCTATGTTATTTATCCTACCACAGTTATTTTCGAAAGCTCGTAAAGTTTTTGCTGCGTACTAAAAGGTCTGTTTATTGTTCACTAATCGATGGTGGAAGAAAATTAACCGAGCACGTCGGTATATTTTGTGAAATAGTTTGCAAATATCCACGCGTAAAATTAAGTAAATAGTGCAATAAAGAATGTAGAGGTAAATCATTGATTGGTGATTCTCAACTGGAATGATTTATACCAATGTGTAAGTATCCCAACAATTTCCTGCTGCAACGACGCAAAAGACCGCAGATAAACCGAACAATTTGTTTATAAACTACAGTTATACATAATTAATAAAAATAATTAAATCGCTGACAATTAGATTAGCGGTAACCGAGAGGAGAAGGTAAAAAAAGGCGCCGTTTAGCAAACGCTTTTACCGCAAAACGTTGGAAATAAAACGTGAGCAAGGAAAGGTCGTATGCAAAATACGAGCGCAAGTAATTCATGCATCTGCAGGTTGACATTTTTAAAGTTTGCGAGAGCCGGAAAAATTCCCCGTAAATGCAGGTTATCCTTCACGATCTCACGTGTTCGCCGCGGATTAAGTCGAAATGCACATGCACTACATGCTCCTCGCATCGCATATATGCCTACATATCCATATTTTATTACACGAGGGTTGCGCGATTTCGAATATTTACGAGGGCGATGCGATAAATCGCCGAAATAATGAGCTATTTATGTTCCTTCACAACATGTTAAGTTAACACAAAACGCCCTTTTCTAGCTTTCAAACGACAAAAGGACTCTTTTACCACAGACTGCGACGAATTTTATTAATCGAGTTAAGTAGAAAATCGTGTAAAGGAAAGTTAAAGAAGCGTTCGAGTAAAATTGTACGTGCGAAATTTGTGGCGATGATAAGCAAAAACCTCGTAATTTCATAATGGTTAACGAGGAAACCAACAATTACAGGAAGCATCGGGTACATAGGATTGGCACATATAATTAGGAAAATACAAGAACTCGTAAAAACTTCTGAAATCTCTTAAACTAATTATGGGAACTTGGAGAACACCTCGTATAAGTAGCTATACATTTTTGCACTATCTTCAATAAAGATTAAAAGCAACAACAACCTTTAGGTGATATCACATTTTATCAGTTATTAACACTGCAAGTATCTAACTTAAATCATGCGTATACTGGATCATAATTTTCAACGAACACATTTTATTGACATCTAGATAAACTGCATTTTATTGTTCCTGTTCTACTCCAGTTGATTCCGTACGCAATGGGACGTAATTTTGTCTTTAACCCGAAGCTACTTCCATAGACGGTGCAGAAATAACTAACAAAATATTGTCGAGCTAAATAAATAAATCGTCGAGCTTTTAAGCTTAATGGCGCGATTGAATAGGAGCTGATTAAATAACAATCGATTGGTATTGAATAATTTAAAACGTAAGCCACTGACGAGCCTCTTCAAGAAGAATGGATTTTTTTTTATTATCTTCTTCTATGCGGTTGACTGAATAATTGCAGACCGCTGGAAGGTTTTATTAAAGGCGTTCAATAGGAAGTAACTTTTTTTAGACATAAATTGAGCCGAAGGGACTTACCAGGTATATGTTTCATATCAATTAATTAGTATGGAGAACGTTTAACGGCATAGTCGTTTAATTTTGAAGAGATATTCATGAGGAGAATGAGAAATTTGGAATGGGAGACCTACCCAAAGGGATTAAGAAAGTGAAATAAATAAAATCCGTTCGAACGACTACTCTACATGCACAGCAATTGAAATTCAAATCCAAGCACCTTCATCGTTTGCTAATTTCACTAAACGTTCGTATGTATGTAGGACATCAGGCGTGTAATTTAGTTTTGCTTACTTATCGGAGTTAAGGCCGTCAACAAATTACAAATATGCCGACCCAACATGGCAAAACTGGCTATCGTTAGGCGGAGCCCGTTTTTTGATTGACATCTCGTCGATTTTCGTTATTTTTCCTTTGTTAATATTTATTTAGAGCTTTCGGCTGTCGCTTTTTTTCTCCCTATCGACCGGCGGAGATCGCTGGTTGTGCAACGTAAACAAAGCATTTGGAATGTCGATCGAGTTAATCGTTAAATTAGTCGGTAAATTTAATTGAAACATGTGGCATACTTGGACAATTTTTACGTAATAGATCAATTAATTGGTAGGTGAATTGTTTAATTGAACAGGCAAACCATCTGTCAGCCGAAAAATTTAGAGTGGACATCAATTTTAGTGAAGAAATACTACATGTTAAATGTGATTTCTAGGAAAAAGCTTATCGAAAATGTCCATATTTCACCGCATCCAATTTTTTTACAGTTTTAAATCGACATTCTTCCGGCTCGAAACGGCCGAACACGCGATTTTCCATTCGAATTGTAAATGCAAATCCGAAGAGGCTCGGTTAATTACAGATAACAAGTGCATTATGAAAACGAAGCGACGATAATACCACGGAGGATTCATTTCCGAAGAATAATCGTCGGGCTGCCAAGGCATTAAGAGCGATTATGAGTTACCGTTAGCGCGCGTGTATAATAACAACGTGCAAAGGTACTCAGCATACTGCGGAAATAAACGCGTAAAGCACTTAAAAGTTTTTAGAAACATAAAGATTTTACGTCGATAAGAAGTTTGAAAAATGCGTTATTTTAAAGCGCTTTGTTGCTGGTAAAATCGCTAATAACAAAACCAATCCAAATAAAAACAGTTAAGATTTTCTCTCTCATGCTTATAAAAATGTCTTGCAAACTATACATAAATTATTGTAGCATTCATTAACTGCCACTACAGTTTACTGACCAAAACTTATCATCAAGAGTACTTAATAACTAAAAATCATCTCCATCAAATTTCCACCAATAATCACCAATTCTAAGCAGTATTATACCATCGGCTACATCAAAGGTTGTTAAACAATAAAAAAGATTATTTCTAAGTATTGGTTCGATGACAAAAAACCTCGCCGGAGAATCTAGAACGATCGGAACAGAATCGAACTGTTCGCGGTTTGACATTAAACCATTAAACTATCACTTGGCTCGGAACGCTTTTGGATTAATAAATAAGTATAGGTAGAAGAAGCATTTGAATACGCACGACCTTTGCTCGACCGAACAATGCAAATGTTGGGTACACAATGCCCGCCTTCCACGTCGATATTTAGTTTACCTTCGAATGATAGATAACAATGAGAAAGGATTCCTCGCGACGAGAGATCACCGTTAAATTAAATCCGGGGACAGGAGTCAGGAAAACAATGAGTAAATATAGTCGACTGGAAGATCACATTTCGCTTGATTACCTGCAATTGTGTGTTTATAAAGTTCTTACTGTTTCAATTCTAACTCGAAGCATCGTGGATTGCGATAGCATTTTCCGGCGAGATGCGTTTCTAATTCCTCGAACGGGAACGTCTTCATACTCGAGCGGTTTCCGCCGATGATGACGGTGATGATGTTGTTCGATTTCGACGAGAGCATCGCAGATTCTATTATTGGAACGTAAATAATTAATGCTCGCGTACGTTTTTTTTTTTCCTCTCCTTCGTCGTATTTTTGTTTTTATATGCAAATTTCATCCCAGATTCGACGCGATAGCGCTGGCTCGGCGTTTCGATCGCATCCGATGGGAAAGTCGGACGTCGAATTTAATTAAATTTATTCGCGCGAATATCGAAGAAACGTTTTCGGCGTGACGGATGCGGGTAAATTCGCCAGCGCCGACAGTCATGGGATTGATTTCCTCGCTTTCAGTCGATTGAATACCGTAAATTTCGGGATTACCGTTAAAACAATGGCCGATGATGAAGAAGACTAACAACAGACTGATTAAGATGGAGAAGATGAATATAATGAACCACTTGATGAACAGAAAAAGCTTGTCTTATCAATGAACGATGAAGAAGATCATCAACAGAAGACTCTTAGTTCATGCATCATTGAATAACGAGAAGATTAACAACAGAACACACTTGTCTCTTCTTTGAATGATGAAGAATGTAAACAACAGAAAAAGCTTGTCTTATCAATGAATGATGAAGAATATTAACACCAGAACACTCTTTCTCTACATCGAATAATAAATAACAAACAACAGAAAAATCTGGACTTATCATTGAATGTCGAAGGAGATTAAAACCAGAAAAGTCTTTAGTCTCTTTAACATCAGAAACCTCATTTTTCTGCTTGTCCTTCTCAACCTTCTTTCGTCGACTGCTGGACATCCAATTTCTTCGAGTCTCATCATTGCAGACTAAAAATTACTACAAAGTCCTAGAGAAAGTACTCCCATCCACTAGCATTTTTTTTTTCAAAATGAAATTATCCTCTAACTAGCTAACAATCGAGTACGGCCAATTAACCCGCCGAATGTAAATACACGTGTAATTGGTATCTACGATTTAGTAGGTTTCTGTGTTTCGGATCGAAGCGAATTAATTTCTAATGACGTGCATTTTCTGCGGTATTCGAATTGGAATGGTAGCCGATCGAAAGGCAGGTGTAAGGCAACGCCATGAAAGGACGGCTAGTAAAATAATGAACAAAGTATAAATACATAATTGGGAGTTGTTTATGGACCTATTTCGAGGACGGCAAAAAGGAATACACGGTAAATGATGGTGGAAAGGTGTGTA